ATGTAGGTTAAACACCATCACTTTCTCCTGTGTGTTTATTTTGACTCTAAAACTCGCGCGTGCCCAAATAAACACTCCCACACCATGCCTCTTTTCTTCCTCCTACACTCCCCCCTAAACAGAGCTGGACACGCCCACTTTTCTGACTTTTTCCAAAGTAGAGGTGTGAAAACACCCTGCTGAAACAAGGGGTTTCATGGCCCTTTAAGACCCACTTGTTCTAAATGGTTTTTAATGCATAGCAGCGCTGACACTTTCTCCTGCATTAAATGTTTTGCTGTATTTTATTGACACATCTTCTATTGTTTTTGCATTGGATGCTTTCAAGTTTTGTTGTATAATTTGTTTTTACTGGTGTAAAGCACTTTGGTTGTAGTAGGCTGATATATAAATAAAGGTTGGTTGGTTGATTGATTGATGTTGTGGTTGTAATTGTTTATATTAGTGAGCTGTTCTGAGACCTGTTGTTGAAGGCCTTCTCGTGGTCGGTAAGCACCAGGCCTGGGATCGGCCGGACTCTCAGAAATCGCTGGAAGGATGAAGGCGGCAGCGGCTGACTGACCGACGGCTCCTGCAGATTAATGTTCAGACCCGCAGCGCTGGAGTTTACAGCCCTGATCATCTCTGACACCTGAGAGAAAAACACATCTATAAGGCTGCATTCACACTGTAGATCTTGATGGACAATTTCGATTTTGTGACTGCATCTGATTTTTATGATGACCAGCTTACATCTTCTTTTAAAAGTGACTGATGGTATCTGATATCTGCATTTACACTGCACACACAAAGATGCAGAAAAAGAGCAGGCGCTGACCGACAGCTGTGATAATAAAAGAGCTTACATTTATATACATACATATATATATATATATATATACACACCGGCCACTTTATTAGGTACACCTTACTAGTACCAGGTTGGACCCCCTTTTGCCTTTAGAACTGCCTTAATCTTGCCTTTGTCCATATTGACATGATAGCATCATGCAGTTGCTGCAGATTTGTCAGCTGCAGATCCATGATGGATTCATGCTTTCATGTTGTTGAGGCCAAATTGTGAGCCGAGCATCCGGATGTGTCAGCAGAAATGGAGACTCATCAGAGCAGCAACGTTTCTCCAATCTTCTATTGTCCAGTTTTGGTGAGTCTGTGTGAATTGTAGCCTCAGTTTCCTGTTCTTAGCTGACAGGAGCGGCACCCGGTGTGCTCTTCTGCTGCTGTAGCCCATCCGCCTCAAGGTTCGCCGTGTTGTGTGTTCAGAGATGCTCTTCTGCAGAGCTCGGTTGTAACGAGTGCTTATTTGAGGTACTGTTGCCTTTCTATCAGCTGGAACCAGTCTGGCCATTCTCCTCTGACATCATCAACAAGGCATTTGCGCCCACAGAACTGCCGCTCACTGGATATTTCCTCTTTGTCGGAGCATTCTCTGTAAACCCTAGAGATGGTTGTGCGAGAAAATCCCAGATCAGCAGTTTCTGAAATACTCAGAGCAGCCCGTCTGGCAGCAACAACCATGCCACGTTCACAGTCACTTAAATCCCCTTTCTTCCCCATTCTGATGCTCACTTTGAACTGTAGCAGATCCTCTTGACCATGTCTACATGCCGAAATGCAGTGAGCTGCTGCCATGTGATTGGCTGATTGGACATTCGTGTTAACAAGCAGTTAGACAGGTATACCAAATAAAGTGGCCAGTAAGGGTGCGTACATACGTATGCATGCATGTATATACAGTGCTGTGCATAATTGAGCACACCCCCTTTTTGAAAATGTATATTTTTCTCCATTTCTCAGTGAATAAAGTCTATAATTTGGTGCATATAAACAAAACATCTTTAGAAGTAAAATACATTTATATACAAACCAGTTACTGCAAAAACACTTACAAACTACAAAGTTCTTTTTGAAGTTAAATGCCAGTAAAACTGAAGCCCTTCTGGTTGGCTCTAAATCTGTTCTTTCCAAAGCTCAATCCTTTACTATATCTATCAATAACTCCACAGTAAATTTTACAACTCATGCTAAAAGTCTCTGGGTTATACTAGATGGCATGCTTTCGTTTAATTCACATATAAGTAATGTTTCAAGATCTGCCTTTTTTTACTTGCGTAACATTGCAAGACTTCGCCCTTCACTATCCCAACAAAGTACTGAAGTGCTCGAACATGCTCTGGTTACATCAAGGATTGATTATTGTAATTCCCACCTATCTGGTAACTCTCTTAACCAACTTCACAGATCACAGTTAATCCAGAACTCAGCAGCTATAGTCACCCGCTCGCGTGCTTCTGAATACATAACTCCACTTCTCTTTCACTTGCATTGGCTTCCTGTTCTTTATCGTGTACAATATAAATTATTTTATTAACTTACAAAGCTCTTCACAACCTTGCACCCGATTAAATCTGATCTTCTTTACTGGTACACGCCTCGGCGCTCACTGAGATCTTCTGCAGCTGAACTGTTATCAGTTCCCCAAATTTTAAGATGAAGTCATTAGGTGCAGGGCTTTTAGCTGCACAGCACCACAGTTATGTGCCGTTAGATATTCGTCAGGTGGACTCTATCTCCAGTTTTAAATCCCAGGTTAAAACCTTTCTGTTCAGGATTGCTTTTAATGACTTTCTGGATTAATACTATGATTTATTACTCTTCTGTCTTGTTTTTATAATTTGCTTGTGACATACTGTAAGGTGTCCTCTAAAAGGCGCCTATCAGGGCTCGAAATTAACTTTTTTACTTGGTAGCACCGGTGCTCCCAACTTAAAATATTTAGGAGCACAAAAAAATATTTAGGAGCACCAGAAAAAATTTAGGAGCACCCACCAAAAATGAATGAGCACCGCTGCAAATTGTTTTTTAAGGGCTTTATTGTATTTTAAAACAACATTAATAGGACTGACAAAAACCAGAAACAACTATCTAACTAAAGCTGCGAAGACATTGATATTTGTGTGCAATAATTCCAAAATAAATGTCTAATAATTAGGCCATAGAATATTAATGATGATGAAAAATGACAATAATAGTAACAATGAATTCCATTTCTCATTATGATGCTGCCTTGAATGTGCATGAATGTAGGTTATCTGCTATAAAAAGTCTGTTACTTTATGAAAATAATTGTATAGTTTGCATCAAACAAAAATGAAGCATTGCAGTAAGAAATATTTATTTTGTGCTGCTGTTTTTATATGCATGCCAATTTAATAAATAATATTTCTGCTACAAAACAAACAAAAGATTATAATAAATCATTCAATTCAATGATGAAAGCTGCAAAGCAGTCATCAGTAAACAAATAAATAAATAATATACACCTCAAACAAGAATAGACAAAAGAAAGAAAGTAAAGTCTCACTTCTATCACTCTTTAAAAGTTTTGGTTTCAGTTTGTGTCAATTTAAAGGTTCAGTCTGAGATGATCTTCATGTTTCTGTGTTTGTGGAAAAGCTGGCGAGTCAGCCGACCCAATTTATGAGCAGGCAGAGCAGGATTCTTGCACTAACCATCGGCACAATACTGGTCTTTGTTATGAGCCGCAGTTTCAGTGATCTCAGCTGGTGGATCATTATTCACCACGTGACGTGTCACGATCTCTCTCATCTACACCTCAACTTTAGGTGGGGTTTGCAAACCTGTGTGCTTTAAGTTTTTACTCTTCAGCCGTTTGCATTTCCCGTGGTCATAAAAGCTCCTTCCCTGTCATCTGACAGCGGAATACCTTGAGTGAGTGACAGCTAATATGAACCAATATAGCGGCAGGGAAGAGCGATTCAGCACGTTTTTAGAAAAAACCAAAACAGGTCGCACTACAACCATTATCTGCAGTCGCACTAATGCTCCCAGATATATTATGAGGTCGCATAGATTAATTTTCAGGCGCATATGCGACCAAAATGGTCGCAATTTCGAGCCCTGCCTATAAATAAAAGGTCTTATTATTATTATTATTATTAAAATTCCAACTAAATTTGATATTTTTAATGCTTCTTTTGATTTTTCCTGTTTCTAAAAATTTCCCTCAACATATTAATTAGGGTGTAGTAATTATTGGCCTGTGATTTTCTTTTTTTTTTGTTAGATTAGTTCATTACTGTAAAGCATCCTCGAGAGAATACTAATGCAAAACAGAGATCTGCGAGGGGTCAACTCAATGTTACAGTAAAAGAGATCTGCAAAACTCATTTACAGCTTGTTTCCCCCCTCTTTGTCTTCATTTACAAATATATAAAAAAAAAAAAAATCTAATTAAAACAAATAAAGATCCCTGTCTCTCACCTGCTTCTCCATGCTGCTGTTGCGACGAGACACGGGGTCAGAGTGTATCCAGACATCCCGACCGCCACGCAGACCCACCTATAACACACACACGTTTGATTTTGTGTATTACGGGGACATTCCATAGGTTTCCATCGTCTGCTTTGCCCTAAACTGGACTCTTACAGGACACCATCTGCATTTTTACTTTCTAAAAAACGTATTCTGTGTGATTTATAAAAATTACGACAATGTCCTCATAACTCATCTTGTGGTGTGTGGAAGTGTGTATGCTGTGTATTTATATTGTGCGTGTCTGTATATAATGTGTTTATGATGTATGTGTCTGTATATAGTGTGTGTGTGTGTGTACTGTTCATTGTGTTTATGGCATATGTGTGTGGGTGTCTTTATATACTGTGTTTATGGTGTGTGTATGTACTGTGTGTCTGTATGTAGTGTGTGAACTGACAGCTCTGTGTTTATGGTGTTTGTGTGTGAATGTTTGTATATAGTACGTGTGTGCGTGTTATGTGTGTGCGTACGTATATATATATATATATATATATATATATATATATATATATATAGTGTGTGTTGTGTGTTTATGGTGTGTGTGCGTGCATGTCTGTGTATAGTGTGTGCTCATATAGCATGTGTTTCTATGTATAGTGTCTGTGTGTGTGTATGTAGTGTGTGTACTGACAGCTCTGTGTTTATGGTGTTTGTGTGTGAATGTCGGTATATAGTACGTGTGTGCGTGTTATGTGTGTGCGTACGTGTATATATATATATATATATATATATATATATATATATATAGTGTGTGTTGTGTGTTTATGGTGTGTGTGCGCGCGTGTCTGTGTATAGTGTGTGCTCATATAGCATGTGTTTCTATGTATAGTGTCTGTGTGTGTGTATGTAGTGTGTGTTGTACGGTTATAATGTGTGCGTGTGTCTGTGTGTAGTGTGTGCTTATGGCATGTGTTTGTATAGTGTCTATGTATATATAATGTGTGTGTGTGTGTGTGTGTGTGTGTATGTGTATAGTGTGCGGTTATGGCGTGTGTGTGTATAGTGTGTGCTTATGGCGCGTGTTTGTATGTATAGTGTCTGTGTGTACATAGTGTATGTGTGTGTGTGTATAGTGTGTGCTGTGCGGTTATGGCGTGTGTGTGTATAGTGTGTGCTTATGGCATGTGTTTGTATGTATAGTGTCTGTGTGTATATAGTCTATGTGTGTGTGCATGTATATAGTGTATGTGTGTATAGTGTGTGTTGTGCGGTTATGGCATGTGTTTGTATGTATATTGTTTCTGTGTGTATATAGTGTATGTGTTTATATAGTGTGTGTGCGTGTGCTTATGGCATGCATGAGTTTGTATGTATGGTGTCTGTGTGTGTGTGTGTGTATGTGTGTATATAGTGTGTGTTGTGTGTTTATGGTGTGTGTGCATGTGTCTGTGTGTAGTGTGTGCTCATGGCATGTGTTTGTATGTGTAGTGTGTATCTGTGTTATATAGCCTGTGTTTATGGCGTGTGTATGCATGTGTGTATATAGTGTATTCTATGGTGTGTGCGCGCACGTGTCTGTATATAGAATGTGTGTACTGTACAGTATGTTGTGTTTATGGTGTATGTGTGTCCTTATATAGTGTGTGTTTATGTTGTGTGTATGTGCTGTGTGTTTATGGTGCGTGTCTGTAATTAGTGTGTGTACTGAGTGACTCTGTGTTTATGATGTTTGTGTGTGGACGTCTGTATATAGTATGTGTGTGTATGCGTTGTGTGTTTATGGTGTGTGTGTGTGTGTGTGTG